GCAGAACGGGTCCGTAGGCCAGATTGATATCTAATTGATATCCAGCCCGCGAGGCGGGCCTGAGCCGAAATCGTGGGCATCCTGCTGATCCGCGCATCCCCCCCTCATCCCTTCAACGCTCGCCCCAGGACCCCCCCCCCCAATCCGTTCCGCTCTCCCTCTGCCCTCTCCCGTGGCCCCCTCCCCCCTCCCGCTTCCCCCTCCCATGCCCGCCAGGGCGCCGTCAGCCTCGGCGACTCCTGCCGACGGCTCGGTCCTGCAGAGGAGGACTGGGGACGCTGGCCTGGCAGCAGCAGCAGCAAGGGGGGGGGGGCTGGGATCGGGATCGGGCTCGTAGATCTCGGGCGTCTGCTCTACACCATCGCTAGTGCTCGAGACCGTGCCGTGTGAGCAGGGGGGAGAGCGGGAGGAGGAGAAGGAGGACGGGGAGGACGAGCAGGAGGAGGAGGAAGAATCCTCCTCCTCCTCCTCCTCCTCCTCCTCTTCCTCCTCCTCATCCTCCTCCTCCTCCCTCCTCCTCCTCCTCCTCCTCCTCCTTCTCCTCTTCCTCCTCCTGCTTTCAATTCAGTGCCTCGCTGCGGCATTCGTGCTTCGGTGCCGTCGGGAAGGAAGAGGAGTTCCACCGCCACATCATCTTGTAGCTTCTTAGAGCCCTCAAGGAGGACCCAAGACGCCCTCCCATACTCCAGAGGAGGCCTCGAGGCCACAGCAGAGGATTGGCCGCTGAGGATATCGCCCCAAGAACCCCTGGGCATCCTGCCAGCTTGCCCTCCCCCGTGACCTCTGCGCTCCTCCTGACCGTCACGTCACTCCTCGTCGTCGCCGGCGCTGTACACCTACTCGGGCAACCCCTACAATTCGGAGTATACGTGCATTCACCCCGTCCACCGTTCGGGTGTCGGCTGATCGTTCCAAACTCGCGTCCGCCCTGAAAGATTGAATAAACCGCTCCGCGCTTCAACCCGTCCATCTGCAGACTGGAAATCGCCAGAGGCACCCAGAGGATGATTGAGATGGGAGTGACTGATGGGTTGCTGGCGGAGGTCGGTGGTGGGTGGTGGTGGGAATGGCGGTAGTGGGTGGGTGGTAGGCGAGTTGTGGTTGGGATTATGGTGGTGGCAGCGGCGGGTGGTGGTTGTCATAGAGGGCGGTGGCGATGAGGGTGATGTTAGACTTTGTGGTGTTGCTGGCGGTCGGCTGTAAAGGTGGCGGATGGTTAGGGGTGATGTTTGTGGTGGAAGGTGTCGAAGGGTGGTACTGGTAGTAGTGGTTGGTGGAGGCGGCGTGTGGGGGTGGGCGTGTGCGCGGTGGTCGAGGTTGGGGTGGCGGTGGGCGTGGTAGTGATCGATCGTCGTGGTTGGTAGGGTGGTTGTGTTTGGCTCTGGGGGCGGAGGGGGGGGCAGGTGCTGGTGGTGATAATTGAGGTTGGTGATGGGCGTGGTGGTGGCAGGTGGCGGTGCGGGTGGGGCGGGGGCGGTGCGGGCGGCGGTGCTGGTCGGTGGAGCTCCATGCGTGATGCGGGTGGTGGTGGTTGGTTGTGATAGGTTGTGGTTGTGTGGGGGTGGCTGGGGAGCAGATTGCTGTGAGGGGTGGAGTGGTGGTGTGGATAACGAGAATGGTGGTGTGGTTTGTCGCGGGTGTCTCAGCGGGACGTCGTGGTGCTGCTGCTGCTGCTGCTGCTGCTGCTGCTGAGTGTTCGTGTGTGGGCGGGGGGGCGGTGGATGGTGGCGTGTGGTAGTGATGCTCGCGGTGGAGGTGGAGCTGGAGGGTTGTCATCGGCTGAGGTGGTGGTGGTAATGGGTGGGGTCGTATGTGATTATGATGGTGGTGATAGCGGTCGTCGTCGTCAGTAACAATGTGTGTTGTCGATGGAGGTGGTGGGGGTAGAGTGTTTGATGGTGGGTGGTAGTCGAGGTGCTGGTGGCGATGATGGTGGTGGTGACTGGCGTTACTGGTGGTGAGGGGGAGGGCGACGGTTTTAGTGGTAGGTTGCGGCGGTGGGTGGCAGTCGCGGTGGCTGGTGGTGTTGGGTGCTCGGTTGTTGGCAATGGCAGGGGGGGGGGGAAAGGTGGGAATTGTGGTGGTGGTTTAAAATTGCGGGGGGGGAGGTGGAAGCGAAGGTGGTCGTGATGGTGCTGGTGCTGTTGGGTTTGACGATGGTGCTTGGGGGTGGTGCTCGGTGTGCACGATGGTTTCGGCGATTGGGCGGCGGTGTGAACTGATTGCGGCGGAGGTTGAGGGTGCGGGTGCTGCGTGCGTGAGGGGACGTTGTGGTGGTGGGTTGTGGCGGTGGGCGGGTGGAGGTGATTGGTGTTGGAGAGCACCTGGACGCTCACCAGGATTCAAGCGGGTTAAAATATTGAAACGCTTTAATTTCGAAAGATTGGCATTGCATTGCTTCCGAATCTGTGGATTCGTCTCCTTCTGGACCAACCCGCTTCAACCTGGAATTCTTCAATCTGTCAATACGATCCCCTCTGGGCCCAATCTGCCGAATCGTTCAATCATCCTCTCCCTCCTGCATTCTCTCAATATCCCAATCGCTCGCTGGGGCCCCTGGCGCAACGCAAACGGACGCTGCCAGAGGACCACGACGAAAAAACGCGGGGGGGAGCAAGGCGGACGCCGAGGCGGAGGAGGGAAGAGGAGGTCCTGCGCGCCCGCGTGAGGGACTACGGTTAGGTCGGGCATGTCCTCCTACAGGCAGATTTCGGACGACAATGTAGAAAACGTAGCCCAACAATATCGAAAAACAATCAAAAATGCGCTTTAACAAAAATCGTCCCCAGACTATTGTTTGACTATTTCTGAATACTGTTCCTGTGGAGGGACATGCCCGACTGAAGACTGCGAGGGGGGGGTGGGCGTGCCAGAGCGACATCGGCGGCGGCGGAACTGCACGTGGACCCCGCCGAGCCCCGGTTCCTGGCAGAACGCTCGGGCCAGCCGCGGCCGCCGACCCCCCCGAGCACGCCCCAGGGGAGAGAGGCAGCCCCACGCCCCCGCCCCTGGGGCCTCGAAGTACCCGTGGTGCTGGTACACGCGCTCCGGCGCCGGCCCGGTCACGCCGTTGCTGCACGACCTCCCTGCCGTCGCGCTGCTCCGCTTCTCCTCGTCCGCTTCCCCTCGTCCGCTTCTCCTCGCGTCGTTATTCCCGCTTCTCCTCGTCCACCACCGTGCCCTCGACGCGCAGGTGGAGTGCTCCAAAACGCATCCAGGAGGCCCCCAAGGAGGCCCCCTGGGAGGCCCCACATGGGTCCCGAGGGCCCGAGGAGGCATCCAAGAGGCCCCCTGCTCACGGCCCAGGCACGGTGGCCGGAGGGGCCCCGAAGGCCGTGGCCTCCGACGCCCCCTGTGGAGTTCTCAAAAGGGGTGCCTGGCGTGCCAAACCCTGCAGGGGTTAAAGCATGCCTGGATTAAGTCGGGCCTGTCCCCCTACAGGGGGATTTTCGACGAAAATTACCCTGCGACGTACCCAACCCACGTGCATCAAATGGCAAGAGGAGTATGCCAACATTAGCAGGAACAACGACAGTGTAGACGCGGCGGTTTGCTGTGCAAGCTACATGGGATGCGCATGCGTTGCACGATTCACAGGACGACGATCGAAAGAACGAGGCTTGAGGCCCCAGGATCGAAGAAGAACGGGTACGGGAACGAGGGGTAGAAGAGGGATGGAATGGAGGGCGGGGGGGGCGAAATGCCATCGCGGAAGCAGCAGCATGCATGGAGAAGGTGAGGCGGGGAATAGGACGACGATGAAAGTGGCGGGAGGAGACAGAAGACTGCCGCGTTTTTCAAGTGCGAGCTAAACCCGCAGCGCTGCCTGCGCCATGTCGTCGCAGAGTTCCACATGATAAAACTTGTTTAGAGTGCAAAGAACGAGCGAGGCGTAGCTCGCCCGCTAGCTTCTCCGCCTCCTTCCCGCACATTTCAGCGCGGGAGTTGAACGCTCGCAGGCGCGCCGCCAGGTCTGCGGGCGGCCCGCGGGAAAGAAACTCAAGGCCGGGTCGCGCATCATCAATCGGTTGTCCATCGTCCAAAGTTGCACTGGCGACGTACTGGTTGAACGCGGAGCGAGCAGCATCACGCGCGTGCCTGAACGCCGCGCAGGTACAGTGCACGCGCGATTGGGACTTCAGGTCGATCACGCGCGTCTCCACCAGGCTTGGCAACACCACGCGACTGAGGATCTCACTGCGGTCTGCCATGCTGCTGTCCGCGAATGCAATGCGCTGCCTGCAAGTAAGGCGGCGGCGTCCACTTGTCTCAGAAGATGTTCCCGCGGGCCCGAAGGGCGACCGCCAGCTCGAGCCGCGGCGCCGGCAGGCCAGATAAGGATCATGCAACAGCAAAGACGATGACAGAGCAACGAGGTATCGGCGAGTGCATGACCGGCCTCCGTTTCCTGCACTTCTTTCCTGTAGTTCCCCTAGCTCATCGAGCTCAGCAGATGTTTCTGCGGGTCCGAAGGACGACCGCCAGCTCGAGTCGCAGCGCCACGTGGCACGAACCGCAGAGCAAGGGCACGCGAGCATTGCTCGTGGTCAGAATCTGAGTCCCCGTGGTGCCTCACTCCGCTGGCCACCCACCAGCAGCCCTCGAAAGTGGCGACAGTTTCACAGATCGCAGCCCCCCCAGAGATGGCGAGGTCTAATCTGAGTCCCCGTGGTGCCTCACTCCGCTGGACCCACCAGCAGCCCTCGAAAGTGGCGACAGTTTCACAGATCGCAGCCCCCCAGAGATGGCGAGGTCTAATCTGAGTCCCCGTGGTGCCTCACTCCGCTGGACCCACCAGCAGCCCTCGAAAGTGGTGACAGTTTCACAGATCGCAGCCCCCCCCAGAAATGGCGAGGTCTAATCTGAGTCCCCGTGGTGCCTCACTCCGCTGGACCCACCAGCAGCCCTCGAAAGTGGCGACAGTTTCACAGATCGCAGCCCCCCCCCCAGGGACGGCAAGGTCTAATCTGAGTCCCCGTGGTGCCTCACTCCGCTGGACCCACCAGCAGCCCTCGAAAGTGGTGACAGTTCCGCAGATCGCAGCCCGCCAGGGATGACGTGAAAGGCAAGAGAAGAGAAGAGGAGGAGCGAAGAGAGGAGGAGAACGCAAGCAAGAGAGGAGAGGAGGAGGGAAGAGAGGAGGGGGGCGGGAGGAGGAGAACGGAGACCGCAGTGCTCTATTCAAAACGAGTACCCAACGCAGGAGGGTTGGGAAATAAACAATACCCCCAAACTGATCCAATAATAATAGTCTGGGGACTATGTTTTGATTATTGGGGTAGTTTTGTCGGTACTGTTTTGGAACATTTGGAACATTTGGACCTTTTGTAGGCATTTGGAACATTTGGTATTTTTTTAGAACATTTGGGCATGTGTAAATATTATTGGGGTATTTTGACCTTTTTGGGAACATGTTTGGGGCATTTTTTCCATCCAAAATATCCCTGTAGGAGGACACGCCCGACTTAATGCTTGGAAGGTTTCCAGCGGGGTCTCGGCCGAGCCTCTCGGCCACCCAGAGAGTGGCCCAAAATATGCAGTCCATCGGCTCCCCCGCTCCAGGACGGCCCCAAGATTGCCTCCCGAACGGGCAAGATGGGCTCAAGATGGCCGCCATAATCCCAAAATCGCCCCAAGACGGCCCCAAGATGCCCCCAAGAGACCCGCAAAAAACCGCACAAGAGTGCCCAAAGACGGCCCCACTGGCTTCCAAGACGGCCCTAGAGCGCCCAAAGCGGCACCCACGACTTCCCAGAGAGGCCTCCGAGACGGCCTCCGAATGACAAGAGGCTTCTCGGAGGAGCCCACCCCGAAGGCCCCCAAGGAGGCCACCCAAGAGGCCCCAGGAGGCCCCCAAGAGTGCCCTCAAAGCTCCCGAAGATGCTCCGATGAAGCCTCCGCGAAGCCACAAACCGGCCTCAAGAGAACTGTTCCTCATCCTCCTCCTCCTCCTCCTCCTCCACCTCCTCCTCCTCCTCCTCCATCACCACCTTCCTTCTCCCTCTCATCCTCCTTTCTCCTTCCATCCCAAGTGTTCTCCCAAGGGTTTCCCCAGCGGTTGGGGGAACACATAGTCCAGTATATTGGCTAGACTTTGGCCCAACATGTGGCCGCATGGGTGTTTCCAAAAAGCGGGGGAGGCGGTAGTTCGCCGTAGGCATCCTCGATCTTTGTCATCTTCAGACTTCTCCGTCTTCAGAACGTTCATCATCGTACGCTTGCTCTCAATCCTATGTGCCGTCATAATGGTAGTGGCGTTGCCTTGCCTCCTCCATCAACTGCATCCTCAGCACCATCAGCAGCATCACCAGCAGCTTCAGCATCATCATCATCGTCATCGCCATCGTCAGCATCATCCTAATCACAATCATCATCAGCAACATCAGCATTGACATCATCATAATCATCATCAACATCAGCATCATCAACATCATCATGCTGGTCATCGTTATCATCATCATCCGCATCATCATACTAATCAGAATAAGCAGCAGCAGCAGCATCATCATCATCATTACCAACCTCATCACCACCATCACCATCACAATCACCATGCCCATAACCAGCACCATCACCATTACCATCATCACCATCCTCATCACCATCCTTATCACCATCACCACCATCACCATCATCACCATCACCTTCATCCTCATCCTCAGCACCTTCACCATCAACAGTACCATCACCATCACCGAGAGAGCGTGATCCACCGCCGCTTTACTGTGGAAAATTGCCGCCCTTTTCCTCCGGAACCTGGGGTTCCCCCCCCCCCCCTCCGAAAATCCCCCCCCCTCTTCCCCCGGCAAAACCCCCCCCTCCCCTCCCCTCCCCCGGCAAAACCCCCCCCCTCCCCTAACCCCTCCCCCACCCCCTCCCAGTCGAAAACGGGAGAGGTCACTACCGGTTCGACCCCCCCCCCCCTCGAACTCGAAAACAGGGGGGGTCACTACCGGTTCGAACCCCCCCCCCCCCCCCCTCGAAAACCGGAGGGGGGGGTCACTACCGGTTCGAACCCCTCCCCACCCCCCCCTCTCACCGCCAGCAAACAACTCCGGTCCCTACCACCGTCATCACTACATCCCCCACTGTTGTTCCCAGCACCACTGTCCTCACCACCACTGTCCCCACTGGTTCCACCACCGCCCCTACTGTCCCCACCAGTGCCACCACCACTGTCGCACTGTCCCCACTGTCCCCACCACTGTTCCCACCACGGCTCCACTCTCCCAACTTTCTCCACGGCCCCAACCACTGCCCGACTATCCCCACTGTCCCCACTGACTCCTCCGCTGTCCCACTGAGCTGTCCCACTGTTCCCACCACTGTCCCCACTGTCCCCACCACTGTCCCCACTGCACCTCTGTCCCATTGTCCCACCGCCGTCCTCGCCACCGCCTTCACCACTGTCCCCACCACCACTGTACCCTCCACTGTCCTACTGTTTCCACCACATTCCCACTGTCCCCACACCACTGTCCCCACCACCACCGTCCCCACCACTGTCCCAGTGTCCCCACTGTTCCCACCATTGTCCTCACCATTGTCCCCACCACTACCGTCCCCACCACTGTCCCACTGTCCCCACCACTGTCCCGCTGTCCCCTCACCACTGTCCCCACCACCACCGTCCCCACCACTGTCCGCACCCCCCCTCCGGTTTTCGAGGGGGGGGGGGGTTCGAACCGGTAGTGATCCCCCCTGGTTTTCGAGTTCGAGGGGGGGGGGGGTTCGAACCGGTAGTGACCCCCCCCCCTTTTCATGATGAACTGGGGAGGGAGAGGGGTTCGAACCGGTAGTGACCCCCCCCAGTTTTCCGGAGGGAGGGGGGGAGGAGGGGTTCGAACCGGTAGTGACCCCCCCCGATTTTCCGCCAGCAGCGGTAGAACACGCTCTTTCCCATGACCATCATCACCATCACCATCGCCGCCGCCATCGCCATTACCATCACCATCACCACTACAAAATTCCGCCTCCTCGCCGTCTTCGTCGCCGCCGCCCTGCAAATCACCATCATCATCATCATCATCATCATCACCATCATCATCAGCATCATCATCATCAGGATCAGCAGCCTTATCATCATCATCATCATCATCATCATCATCATCATCATCATCATCATCATCACCATCACCATCACCATCACCATCACCATCACCATCACCATCACCATCACCATCACCATCATCATCATCATCATCATCATCATCATCATCATCATCATCATCATCATCATCATCATCATCATCATCATCATCATCATCATCATCATCCGGTGGTGGTGCATGGTAGTCCCCTTCTTCTCTCCTACTACCCTGAGAGCGTTGGCAAGCTGGGAACCCCAACACTTCATTCGCATAAGACACGTATCGCACGCCGCCGCATACTCTCACATGCCCAGTCATGTCCCCCAATATTTCTCGCGCATGTCCCCACCACTTACTGCTGCCCACGCCTCGGTTCAAACGCACAGTTCCCAGCGTGCCCGCCCTTACTCAAAATGTCGCGTACGTCCAACCACTCATTCACTACTCGCGCATCAGTGACCTTAGGCAACGCTTGCACTCTCCGAGAACAGTGGATCCTGGCATGAATGACGATAGCTGGTGAGCTATGAAGGTTGTGGCCATAACAGGCCGCGTGACAGTTCATTGCCCGTCGGCCAACATACCGACGTCGGTCATACACGTCACGGCCGAACAGGAGTGCGCGCGCACTCCTCTCTGAGTGGGTCCGAAGCGTGTCCGACTCTAGGCTCAAACTTGGATGGGGCCGGTCGAGTCCCTTCACTCATGCTCAGTCAATGACTGCGGTACCAAATCACTAGCAACGATCTGCGACTGCCGAACGATAGACATGCCATGCCGCGGGGACTCGACGCGAACAAACTGGCGGCCACCACACATACAGCACGAGCGGCATACTACCGCACGCACAGCAAAGACAGGCTCAAGAGAGCCACCAGCTGAGGGACACGCAAACCCATTGACACCCGCTGCAACGCTGGCAGACCGACACGAAACCATGTCCCTCACTATTGTTTATCCTCCTCCTCCTCCTCCTCCTCCTCCTCCTCCTCCTCCTCGTTATCCTTCTCCTCATCATCAACGTCATCATCATCGCCGTCATCATCATCGTTAGCATCACCATCATCGTCGTCATGCTCATCGTCAAAATCATCAGTGTCATCGTCGCACTCATCATCGGCACTACAATCATTATCATGCACATAATCATCAGCATCACCACCACAACCATCATCATCATCAACATCATCATCAACAGCATCATCGTCATCACCGTCACCGTCAGCATCAGCATCATCATCATCATCATCATCATCATCATCATCGTTGTCGTCGTCGTCATCACCAGCATCACCGCCACCATCACCATCACCACCATCATCGTCGTCATTGTCGTCGTCATAGTCATTATTGTCGTCATCCTCCTCATCATCACCATCATCACCATAATCATCGCCATCGTCATCGTCTTCGTCATCATCGTCATCACCCTCATCCGATACTGCCTCGTTGTCCTCCTCCTCCTCCTCCTCCTCCTGCTCATGCTGATCATCCTCATTATTTGGTCCTCCGCCTCCTTCTCCTCCTCCTCCACACCCTCAGAGCCGCTCCCCTCACGCACACGGTAAGGCGTGACAAAGCTTGACGCCAGACCGCATCGCGCGAAAAGGCGAAGCTACTCCCAAACAAACCATCGGCCGAAACGGCGCGGAGGCCAGCAGGAGGAAAGAAGAGATGGGATCTGGAGGACGCGGGGGACCAGGAGGACGAGAACGACGAGGAGGAGGGAGAAGGATGAAGGTGCGGGTAGCGACGGGGAGGGGACGGGGCGGAGGACGGGGAGAAGGACGAGAAGTGGATCAGACGAAGGCGGAGGAGGAGGCGGAGGAGGAGTACGATGGGCAGGATGGGCAGGACGAGAGGCGAGGAGGGCGAGGACGTGGAGGATGACGACGACGGGAGACACGGTCGGACGCGCGCGCGCGGGGCGCCAGAGATCGGAGCGCGGGCTGTCCCGAGCAAGCGCCAAGCCCCGACCCCGATGGCGACGGGCAGGAGGAGGTGGAAGGTGGGGGTTATTTAGGATGATGGTCGGGGGGAGGGATGGGGAGAGGAGGCAGGGATGGGATGGGGAGGGAGAGAGATGGGAGGGGGGAGGGGAGGGGAGGGATGGAGGAAGGAAGAAAGAGAGGTAGGCAGGGGAGGGAGGGCGAAGAGGAGGTAGGGAAGAAGCTGTAAGGGGGGGAGGGAGGGAGGAAGGGAGAAGGACGGACGAAGTCGAGGAGGGAGAAGAGGGGGAGAGGGATGAAAAAAGAAAGGGGGAGGGCGAAGGAGAGGAAGAGGGAGAGGGAGAGGGAGCGGGAGGAGGATCACCAAGATGAGCCCGAGACGAGGATCAGCTCGGATGAGGACGAATCGAGAGTCTCGGATGGGATGCCTTGGGCGCCGCGGCCTTCTCGGAGCGTTCTGGAAGGCTCTGAGTGCGTTCCCGAACGCTCCGGTTCGGAGTGATCCTCGTCCTGGCCCCGTCCGCAGCACCCACCAGCAGACAGGTCCTTGCCTCTGATCAGGGCGTGCATGGATGGCATAATAACTAGCGGCGCCTCGCATGAGCTCGCCTGATGCAGTACACGTCGGTCGGAAGAAATAGGTAGAAACATGAAGCAGGAAGGCAAATAAAGTGGATTGGGTCCAGGCCCTCCCAGAGAATAACAAAACACAGCGACAGCAAGCCGATTCTTGAAGTAGGAAGGCGCTTGAAGTAGATTGGGATCTGGGAGTCCACAAATACCTACTTTTAACGACCGGCGTGTATCATGCTGCCCCGTTCCGCCTGATCCACCGTTCCTCATGCCAAGCTTACCCTCCTGATCTTCCTCCTCCTCCTCCGCCTCCTCCTCTTTCGGGTCTTTCTATGTGCTCGCGTCTTCTAATGTCTTCTCGGAGCGGGAGGGGAGAAACCAGCGTTTGAACATGTTGCGCGATGATGCAGGCAAAGGCACTGCCGGGAAACTGGTTTGCGACGGCTTCTGTAGCTTGCCGTGCACTGGCACCTGGTGGAAGTGAGCAGGGTTGCGACAGGTTATCATGGCGCGTTTTGTAAACATTGACAGGGAAATACAGATTGGTGAAACATTCTGGGGAACTGCTCGCTACATGACCATTGCCACGGAAAGCGCAGCACTTGTCCCTAGGATTTGTTGGCTCTAATCCTGCACGCTTTGCGCATGACCGTATGTGGCCGTTCTGGATCGAGTTTGGCAAACTCGTTACGTAGTTGCTGAATGCCCTGCTACGACGTGCGCAATAAGAACGAAGCGGGAGGATTGGCGGCCGGCTCCCCGTCGATCGAACACACGGGCAATGAACAAGCCATGACCAAATCATCAATGCGGCACGATTCGATATCGCTCCGAGCCTGTGCCTCCTCCCCCCTTCTCCTCCCGCACACCTACCCTCCTCCTCCCGTTCTCCTTCTTCCTCCTCCTCCTCCTGACCGACTGACTCGAAGTAGATCGGGCGGTGCCTGGCACCTGCAAACCTGTCCTGCCACCTTCCCACGGCTAAGCCCCGTGGGGGATGTGGGGGCCTCCTCCTCCTCCTCCTCCTCCTCCTCCTCCTCCTGCTCCTCCTCCTCCTCCTCCTCCTCCTCCTCCTGCTCCTCCTCCTTCATTCCCTCACGGCGTCCCTCCCTCCCTCACGCTCGCCCTCATCTTCACCCTGTTCCTCGCCCCAGCGGCGAAGGCGCGACCTGTCCTCGAAGAGCGGGGCGCCCAGGCACTCCCTGAAACCACACATGAGGCCGAGAGAGTAGTCCCCGCTTGGGAACCACATCTCTATGCCAGCATGGTAGTAACCTTCTTGCCGGGGTTGAGGGGGAGACGGGCCCCAAGACGAACAGGCGAGGGGGAGGAGTGGAGGAGGGAAGGCGAGGTGTGGGGTGGCGGGAGGGGATAACCCGAAGCCGAGAAGGAGATGGGGAGATGGAGGGGAAGGGTGGGAGGGGTACGGGGCGAAGGAGGGGGGATAAAGGGGGCGAGGGGGATAGGGGACAAACATGGGGGAGAAGGGTGCAGAAGAACAACTATTGGGCGATGTGGTTCAGTCTAGGCATTGTCACTGGTTTGAAGAGTAGGACAACAGAAAAGAAGCTGCCGCCGCCGCGGGCAGCAGCTCGTCGCTCCGGGACGCTGCTGATCCTGTCGGGGTTTGTGGCGTTACTGGCGTCGCTGCTGGCGGCAGCGCCAGCAGCACGAGGGGGCCCAGAACGCACAAGCATGATCACCGCGCTACCCGCGCTGGACGAACGGCGCGATGCAGGCACGATGCGCCCACATCTCGATGAATGGCGCATCCCTGGGTGCTCACAACTTTTCCAAGCCTCGACTGCGTTTTGCTGTGCACCGCCCGCTCGTGTCCGTGTCGTCGTGCCAACTATGGCACGATGGGAAAAGGGAGGGGGAAATGGAA